TCTCCGCCTCAGGGCCTGCGGGGAGCGTGGCGGCCAATCAGCGCGCACGAGGGAAACGGGGAGGCCAATGGGAAGAGCCGAGGCGCATCCCGGCGGCCAATCGAGAGGAGGGAGGGAGAAAGGAGGCAATGGGGCGCCGACTTCCCGGCCGCGCTGTGGCGCTCGTGGCGCGCAGGCGCAGTGGTGGGGTGCGGCGGGGCTCTGCGCCCCCTGGCGGTGGAGGTGGGGCCGCGCTTGGAGCTGTGCTGGAAGTGTGCGGAGCAGGACGCTGGGGCACGCAGGAGTGCTACTAAATGCAGACAATCTGAACGCGTTGACCGCGGGGTGCTTGGAGAGCCCTTCACGGGTGTGGCGCAATGCCCTGCAATGGTAGTGCTGCGAGGTGCCGGCGGCGTGGTAGGATCCACACAGGGAGTTCAAAGAGGAAGCCATAGCATGAAAACCCATCTACCTGCTGCGGTCTTTCTGAGTTGTTTGCAATGTAAGAATTGCTCTTACTTATCTCTGGTTAAGAAACAAGGGAAAACTAGAAGCCAGCATTTTCCGAAGGCAGCGTCTAGTACATTCAAGCCTGGAAAGATTGAGAAGCGTTGTTCGAAACCCTGCCCATCTTCCTCAGCTCCACGCCGCCCTTTTGTTCAGACGAACTCTTCGCTCTACTTCCCGCTGCAGCCCTCAGCAGGCAGTCACCAGAAAGCCTTTCCCCCCTTTTCATTCACTGTCAGATTCTCACTTCTGCTTCAGAGCACTTTGGTGTAGGAGGAGGCAGAGTCAGGATTAATTTAGATTTTGCAGATAAGAGTTTGCAATATATGATACTGCTGAATGTGTGTCTAGGACTAACAGGAATCAAATTAGATTTGTTCAAAAGAGCCAGACATTTGGCAGGGTGAGTTATAAAACTATTCAACTTAATCTGTCACGTAATAAGTCCATGCTACTCCTCTGTTTCACAAAGAAAGCCTTTGCTAGGGTATCCAAGAACCCTGATTTCTTTGAAAATAGGCTCACAAGTCATGAACTAGGTCTTTAGGCCCAAGCAGAGGCAAAAAATACTTTGGGAAACATCCTAGATCCAATATAAGCCATCAATGTTTCTGTCTTAAAACATTTCGAACTGAGACACTGTTCCCCATCAATTTATTCCACTCTCAACATAAATCAAATGTTTAGCCTGTAAGTTTATGTCTTGAGGCTTCCTCGCCACCTTTCTCTACTTGATTCTTTCTAACTGGAGGCTGCAGAAAAGGAGCAACAAAAAAATGTGATTATGACTCATACAGGGCTTTTGTGACTTTGGAAATCTAATGAGCCACAAGTAAATTCATTATTATTCAACGCTCTTCATCCTAATTTATTATAAAATCAACTGTACAAGACACAATCCTGATTAAGCAACTTCCATTTAAGGAACCACTTCAATGCATTCCTGAATGTTTCACCTTTTTGAGAATACAGTCTCCATTAAGCAGAAGCAAAGATTTCTTAAGGTGATATCTTTTATTAGAACAACTATATAGTCCAATACAGCTGATCCAATAAAAGATAACACCCTAAAAAACTCTTGTCTCTCACATACTTCCTGGACCATCACAACAATATCATTCTAGCATGCCATTGAGCAGCTAATTTTGGCCCCAAATGTTTGGGAATTGTTTGGAAAAGTGCACAAGATTCATTGCTGTCACTTCAAGGAAAGGTTTCAAGGATGCTGCTTTTCTAATGATTTGTGTGGCTGCTACTGCATGAAGCCTAAAAGTGCTGTGCATGTCCTGACTGGTAAAACTCTTGCCAATGGACCAACAGGAAAAAAGTGCAAATTTATAACCCAGGGATCAAATTAACTTTAGTATGTGTGAGCCCAACTTTGCTGGTTTCCTTGGAGAGGCACCCACTGTGGTTGAATCTAAGGCTTGAGCTCTTGTGAAAAAATGTTCAGATTTGTACGAAGGAGACCTGCTCCAAACTCCCCAGTCAACCAAGTTATAAATGGGAACTCAAAGCTGGCCCATTCAGCTTTGACCTGGGGACTCAAAGCTGGCCAGGTGTGATGCTGGCCACAGCAGTCCCCTGTGTGCCTTAACTATGCTAGCCAATAGGAGAACCCTTGATCTTGATAAATGAGTATATAGATCAGATATAAGGAAGTGCCCCTATGCCAGTTTAATAAACAGGTCCTAGGCAAATTATTTCATTAGTAAGTTCAACTGTTTGGCCAGGAAGACCTAAAAGGATGCTTTCAAGTACCATGTGGTTGTTATTATTTTAGGTTCAGCTTGTGTTTGCTGCCTGTTTGGATGGACAAAGGGTGGAATAAGGTCTAAGATCCTCTCTTTCCTGTGCTAGGGACATAAGCAGAACCAGTAATGAGAGTCCTTGCATTCCCCAAATTAAAATGGTAGAATTTCACATCCATTTTATATTCACTTTGCCAGGTCTAATTGACTACACAAAGTTTGGAGCAATGAAGAAAGGGACCCTGTTTAAGGGTTATGCAAGTACTACTGTTGGCTCTAGCCCTGCTAAAGGGTTGCTGGGTACAGCGGGGTTTGCCTCCAAGGATGCATTCCTATTGCACCCCATGGATCTCTAGAAGGCATGTTCTGTATGCTTTCAGAACTGTAACTCCTGGAGTTTTTGCTGAGGGTATGGCTATAAATCATAATTGCCCATACTCTTTTATAATATGTGTGAATGTGGAAGCTTCACATTTTAGGCTCTTGTGTGAAACCGTTGTCACTTATAATATTCATGGGGTTTTCACCCTCAGAATTTCATGTGTTTAATTTCATTTTCTAGCAAACCTTAAAAGCTAACAAGAAACGTGGAGAAGCTCGAGAGTCCAAAGGAGGGCCAGGCACATAAAGGTCTGGAGTGCAGGTCATATGAGGAGAGGCTGAAAGACACAGGGCTGTTCATCCTGGAGAAGAAAAGACTCAGAGGGTATTTGGTGGCAGCCTATAAGTATATCAGGGCCATACATCAGGGTCTGGGGGAACATCTGTTCACCAAGGCACCCCAGGGGAAGACAAGGAACAATGGGCACAAACTGATTGACAATCAATTCAAATTGGACATTAGGAAAAACTTTACAATTCAAGTGCTGTGGGTCTGGAACAGGTTCCCCCCAGAGGTGGTACAGTCACCTACCCTGGAGATCTTCTAGAAGTGTCTTGATGCCCACCTTTCCCGCTCAAGTGCAGGGGGTCTGGACCCAATGAGCTTGTAAGGTCCCTTCCAGCCCCTAACATCTATGACTCTGTGAATCAATGAGGAATTATCAATTTTTTGCATAATTTTCATCAGTGGCCTTATATTTAGCTTCAGTTTAATGAATAGTGTGTTGAAGTCAGCAAACATGTCAGCTACCCTCTTTTCAAGGAAATCTGAAACCAGATGAAATAACATTGGGTTTTATTATGAACATTCTACCCAGCCTTCATTTTAAGCTCCAGGTCCATGTATTAGTTATCAGCGGATTAGTTATCAGTGATTGCAGAAGAGCCTCTGTACTTTCACAGCCATTCTCTAGCAGCCTCTTCCGACAAGTGATTGTAAAGCACTTTGGGATGTCTTAAGTAGGAATTGTGCTGCACCTAAAATCCAATTCCATTCTGTGTGTGTAGTATCTATACTCAGCTAACACAGGAGTGTCTATCTCAGTAATAAATTGGAAAAAAAAATGTACTCCCTCAATCCCTTT